GAATTATCAATAGCATAATAAAGAACCTTTCCAGTATTTAATTCTAAATCCATTAAATAAAAATTATTATATCTATTTTTTACTGTCCATTCAAATTTAACAATAAAGTTATTTTTGCCGTTTGATATTCTATATACATATTGATCAATAGGTGGTATATTAGATAACAAAAATGTAGTAGGTTCTTTAAATGGTATCAGATCGCCTTTATTGTTAATACTGAGCCATAGACATGATTCTTCACTTGAGATCTTTGCACGAAATTCAGTGTTTTTACTGATTGGATGACTTAAAACATTATAGTTAAGAATATCATAGATTTTCTTTATTTCCTTTCTTTCTTCAGGATCCCAACGCAATAGCGTAGCATTCTTAGGATAATTTGGTGCATCGTTAGAAAGTTTAACGCTGACTTCATAAGTTTTTCCACAATTAGCATAAACCTTGATAATTTGGTTTAGTTTATCATTAATGTTAATTGATTGGTTTGTCTCATTTTTTACTAAATTATTTATGGTAGTAGCTAATAAATTCATATTGATTTTTGTTCCATTAGTTAATAAAATCGATGCATTTCTTTCTTTATTTGAATCTTCTAATATAGATTTTGCAATTCTGACAATGTCCAAGGGGTCTGGATGGCCATGTCTTGATTCGGAGGAGATAACATAAGTTTTTGCGATAAATGACTCGTAAAAGTTTGAGGTAGAAGAAACAATATATTGAAATGCTAATGGAGAAAATTTTAGACAATTCCACATTGAATTTAATAATGGCTTTAAATTTTTTGCATATTGTGATCTACGCTTCATTTGATTACTTCGTTTTGTATAAATAATGATTATGTCAAAATTTCCATAAATTCGCTTTTTTATGCTATTAAAATACCGATCAAGTTCTTCTTCACAGATGTTATCTCTATTTTTGATAAAATCATATTTTTTCCAATTAATTGGATCACTATTTTGATTGTTTTTGTAAAAACCATATAATTTTCTTCCAATATCGGGCCAATTTATTTCATTCCATTTCCAATCAACGTCATCCTTTTCCGAATTGCTAATTACCAGAGCATCTGCCATATATTTCAGAAATAATTTAGAATTATAAATATATAATTTACTTAATATTAA